TCACAGCATCAGAACTATCACTGTGAAAAAGTCATGTGACAGCCAATGTGAATTAAATAACATTATTTACCTATCAATTAATATATTACTTAACTATTATGTATATTCATTCACAGTTAATCATGCTAATATAATTTCTTTATTTGATGCACAAATGTATGTAACTGAAAATACTGTAAAATTGATCTATCTCATGTAAATTAAACAATTTGCTCTGTTATTACATTATGTTTATTCCAACATCTTATTGTGTAATGTTGGCTTTACATCTTAGTTTAATGTTTAATGCTTGTAGATAGAGAGTAAAGTTAACCAGAGCCAAACTCGTATGCTTGTATGTTTACACACACGTGGACAATAAAGCTGACTCTTTCTGAAGACCCTGATCATCATTCCCTGTTTTAAAACAAGAATTGTCTTTGTTCCCACAATGTCTATTACAGTACAGCATCATAAAACACACTGACAATCAAACAAATCAACCTTGGACAATAATATACATTTTTTTTAGATTGGTCTTTTAGCACTTGCCTCTTTCTCTTTTTGATGACTGAGGGTGCTGTGGTGAGGCATCGCTACGGTTCTGCTGTGGTGAGGCATCGCTACGGTTCTGCTGTGGTGAGGCATTGCTATGGCCCACATCTGATGCCTCGTTCTCCTCCCTCTGACTGGATGTGACCTGACTTTCTAAAAACCACAACAACAAAAAAAACAGCAACAGAAAATATGAAATTCTAGTGTATTTATCCTACCCCAGTAAATGACTATGTCCCAGGCTCAACCTAATAATCAGTATCAGCATTCTAATGGACTGGTATTGTCAAAATTAGTCTTATCCCTCCGTGTGGCTGTTACTATGCTACTCCTTTCAACAAACTGAGTCCACAGTGGGAGCATTCCCCTCACCAAATGCTAGTACAAATTAGAGGACTGCAAGCTCTGAAGACACAAGTTCCACTAAGGGGAGGATGAGTTGCATTGAACTGTTTATCTTTAACTCATACAATATTAACATTTAGTAAACAAAAGAAACAGACTAAGTGACAGAAGTTATACTACATTAAAGGAGCCAAAAATATAAATGGGATATCCTTACACATAATGGATGTCTTCTAAATACATGAGCATGTTCACAATTCAACTCACATGAAAATACTTACCGTGTTTGTCTGGCTCCACCTCAGCATCGCTGTCAGGATGCACATTCTCTGTTAGGGGGTGGTAGTAAGGAGAATGACTCTGGTTTAAATTCATTTGATTCATGCATAAATAATGCATTTAGGAAAATGTATGAAATAAAAGTATTAATGTACATTTTTTATTTATGTAGAGACATTTGAAAAGAGATTTAAAAACAATAGTACCCTCAGGGTCAATGCTGATTTCATCGAGGGTCTTTCCCTTAAATTCTGCCAGGCGTCCTTTTTCCAGAGCCATGAGAACTTTGCTTATTTTAGCAAGTTGGAGGGTGCCCTCAGGAAGTCTGTAGAACTGCCGATGCACTCTTATATCATGGCCGAGAAAATCTGCTAACTGATCCAGCTCTGTATTACTGAGGTTGAGAACTTGAGATAGTGTTCCTGTTTGTTTGCGCAGTTTTGTCGAGGTTAGACTTTCAGGACTTGTTGCACCACAGACCTTGGCAAAATGTCTAAGGCTATCAGAACCACGGTAGCAGGTAAAAGCAGTTGGTCTTGCAAATAAGTACTTGTTCTCCTGAGGAACCCCACATTCATGCCGTTTGCTCACCAGCAGATCCAATGCTTGCTGCATTGCTGGGGTCAAAAGCACAGGAACTTTTCTTCCCCTTTTTCCTCTTGTCTCAATCCTTCTGAAGTGTTGGCAGAGTTTCTTTTCTAATGCAGACAGAGCTTCACTGACATCTTCCCGAGGGTCTGATACATTGTTAGCCAGATATGCAGACAGGGGAATTTTGGACACCTCCCCTGCTCTTCTTCGGTTGAACAAAATAACTTGTGTCAAAGTGATCTTTGCCAGCTGTGTCCATGTCTGCGGGGATGCCTCTGTCGATAATTTTGCGTGGATGTGCTTTTGTTGAACATCCAAAAAAGAATGCAAGGTCTGGACATCTTTTGTGAATGGAAGCAACAGAGGGGTATTCCACTTGGATTCCTGAAGAGTTCTTAGAGATGCAGCTGATATCATCTCGTTCCATCTGGCCTCATATACTCTGCGGAAGGTACGAGCATCTTTTGCCACACTGTAGTTGTTCTGTACATTGGCACGGCTTTCAACAAGAAGAGAAATCTTAGTCAAGCTATGTCCAATTTTGAGAGCAAGACTTGGGCACTTATAAGCATGTTTTTCACTGTCATAGCCTGCCACACATTTCACAGCTTGCACAACTTGCATAAAGTTTGCAGGTTTGATGTGGTCTTGAATAGTCTTTAAGGAAGTGGTTTTCCTTGAGCAGAGCAGAAGCCTTCCAAGCTCTCTACATTTCTGCCGAATGTACTCATGTTTGCCAGCATCATAACCAAGTCGGTTAAACAGATGCTCACCATACTCCATGATACAGGCATCAGATTTGACTGCAGAAGAAACTTCATCTTGTACCATATTGGTTATCAATCTCCAAAGTTCTTGTTTGACACCAGGTGGTGGTGGTGTAGTAAATGCACAGAGAGCCTGGACACGGGTTTTGCCTGGTTTGCCTGGAACATTAGGCTTGAACTTGCAGACGATCATGTGCCGCCAAAGAAGTTTCCTTGCATAAAACCCTTGACAATATGTACAATGCATGAAATCCTGTGCTTTGGAGTCCTGTCTTGGCTGCCTGCGAGGAACAAGATTTCCAACACCGGAATTTAATACTTCAACATTGTGTGCAAAGTTGCCTCTGTTTCTCAAATGTTCCAGATGCATTCGTCTTTCTTTTGAGCGTTTAGGAAAGGATAAAGCCTCTGCAACCTCTGTCGTATTGGGATGAGCCCGCTCCAAATGTCTTGCAATTTTAACAACTCCCAACTTACAGTAAAGACAAAACTGCTTTTTGTTGTATATTCTTGACCCGTTCTCCTTTTTACAGATGGTAGGTATGACGAGTGAATCATCAGAATCTCTATCTTCTGTAAGGAGTGAAGAGGCACTGTCAGGAAGATTCTGGTCCAGATCTGGAATTGAGTTTTCTAACAGGGAACCAGTGTCTCCTATTTCACTCAGTTTTGATGAGTTACCACTCCTAGTTGGTGTTGTAGCACAGGACACACTAGTTAAACGTTGCCTTTTACGTCTTGTACCACGGCTGCATCTCTTTCTTAAGGGTGAGCGTCCTCTATAAACCAACTGTTTTGAAGAGGCACTTGCTTCTGTTGGGGAAAAAACACTATCTTCAATGTCATCCACATGCCTTTGAAGCAAACTGTCTCTCTGGCTCTCTCTCTGTTTGACGGGCCCAAGAACTTCACTGATGTCTGTACCATCAGAATCTTCACTGGTCTTTGGGATATATTCCTCTCCACTGTCAGCTGAGGTTGAGTCAAAAAGCTCATCCGAATCCAAATCAATCCAGTTTTTCATCTTGGGAAAATAAAATGTAATATAAATTCTTGTTGAAATATTTGCTTAACCTTTTTTTCATCTTGCTCAAAATTATTTGTTTCTTTACCTGTATGCTTTTGGTCCTCCTAAGCCTAGGGATAGGAACTTGGTGGTAACCCTTTTTGGAGAGGCTGAGTTCATAGTCAGAGGCAGAACTTGGACTTGATATCTAGAGTCCAAAAGAAATGTTTTTTTTCACTTCTATCAACAACAAAATAACACAATTGATGAAAAAGATACACACACAAAATGTACCAACTTCACAATACCTGAAAACATCTGTTAACATGAACAGGATTCCTAGATGGAGTCTGAGATTCATCAGAATCTGTGTAGTCGACAATGGAAATATTTACTCCAACTTTGTTCAGACCGGTTGCATCAGAGCCCTATTGAAATAATAGTGACATGATAAAAAGAAATGTGAAAAATACAAAGCTTTGTAGAGTGGCGGCATTTTACATGATTAGGTGACACATCATGTTGGTTATCAAGTCATTCATCAGTCTCTTACATTTGCACACTGTTTTTATCTTGCCGGTTTTCTGCTCATATCACTTTTATACTTCATTTTATGCCTGTATGTCCCTCTTCTACTGAACAAGAACAAAAGAAGACAAAAGCACATAGCCCACTATGCTGGACAAAAAGGTCATTATTTCGGTAAAATCTAATTACATTGTGCATATTTTCATACATTTATTTTATAGTGCGAGGCATTGCTAAATCCCTATTCATGACACATTTTTTAATGGTCTGATGAATTTAGATAAACTGTGATTTGGTGTATTAAAAATATATTTCAAAAACATTAGAAATTAAGTGATTTCATGCATTTAATGAATGCAGTAAATTAGAATACACCAAACAGAAAAACCTCCAAATAAACTGGCACTGTATCTCACCCTCTAGAATGAGTGCCTTCTAGCATACCTCTCAAATCAGATGAACATAGATCGTAACCAAACAAATATGTACTTAATAATAATCAATAATGTTGATACTTCAACAATGGATCAATGAGGAGAGGCTTCAAGATCTAAAAGGAAGACCAGTAAACGGTTCAGAAACATAAATGAATACCTCAATCTGGGAGACAGAAGTGCTCTGAGGATCCTGCTCCGTGGTTCTGGAGATGTCAGCCTCAGCAGAGTCTGTCATAGGAGATTGGCCTCCATCCTGAAGAATATAAGTAGTTTAATTGTTGATGGAAATAATCACTGACATATCTCAGATGTAATACCATTAAGCAAATACAAATGAGAAAAATACTTCTTATATAGTTATTCAGTACATCATGTGTCATTAAGTTTGAATTCCCCTCCACTTTGATCCATTGTTTGTGTGTTAACTCTTAGAAGTACATCTTGGTTTGATTTAGATCAATGTACTCTGGCTGTAGGAACCTCCAGGTGTATATGATGTTGTAGTGTCCTCTCAGAGTGTTTCCTTAACTTAAACACACCTGTCAGGTGTATATGATGTTGTAGGGTCCTCTCAGAGTGTTTCCTTCACTTAAACACACCTGTCAGGTGTTTATGATGTTGTGGGGTCATCTCAGAGTGTTTCATTGGGTGTTACCCCTCCCCCACTTACACACCTGTCATGTGTCCTGTTTTGTGGGGTCCACGATTAGTGAATTATATTGATATCATTTAATGACACTTTATTTTGTGCAGTGGAAAACAGATGAAGCCAGAGTTCAAGAACTAGTGTCACTCATGGTGTTCAATTAAAATGTTGGTCAGAAAGAATAAACTAAGTGTCATTAAATGTTTATATAATAATAAAGTAACCGTGGACCCCACAAAAACAAGATACCTGACAGGTGTGTGTGTGAAATGGAGAGTACTTATCTACTAAACCAGCACCCTGACAGGACCCCAAAACCTCAAAAACCTGAATGTGCCTGCTAGCACACCTATGACCTCAGACTGACACTGATTTTAATCAAATCTAAATTTAATCTAAAGCGTTAACACTAAAACAATGGATCAATGAGGAGAGGCTTCAACATCTAAAGGAAGACCAGAAAACGGTTCAGAAACATAAATGAATACCTCAATCTGGGAGACAGAAGTGCTCTGAGGATCCTGCTCCGTGGTTCTGGAGATGCCAGCCTCAGCAAAGTCTGTCATAGGAGACTGACTTCCATCCTGATGAACATAATTAACCATCATTACTGATTGTTGATCAGTATTCAACTGATTCAGATTCAACAATCAACATTACAACAAAATCTTTAAAAACATACTTATTGTAGAACACCCTGAAGCCTTTAGTTTTCATTTTCCATCTATGACCCAAGACTGACACTGATTTTAACCAAATATCAATCTAAAGTGTTAACATTAAAACAATGGATCAATGAGGAGGGGCTTCAAAAACTAAAGGAGGGACACACTGAAGACCAGAAAAAGTTCAGAAACATAAATGAATACCTCAATCTGGGAGACAGAAGTCCTCTGAGGATCCTGTTCCGTGGTTCTGGAGATGTCAGCCTCAGCAGAGTCTGTCATAGGAGATTGGCCTCCATCCTGAAGAACATAATTAACCATCATTACTGATTGTTGTTGATTTAGATTCAACAAGCAACATTACAACAAAATCTTTAAAAACATACTTATTGTAGAACACCCTGAAGCCTTTAGTTTTCATTTTCCATCTATGACCCAACACTGACACTGATTTTAACCAAATATCAATCTAAAGTGTTAACATTAAAACAATGGATCAATGAGGAGGGGCTTCAAAAACTAAAGGAGGGACACACTGAAGACCAGAAAAAGTTCAGAAACATAAATGAATACCTCAATCTGGGAGACAGAAGTGCTCTGAGGATCCTGCTCCGTGGTTCTGGAGATGTCAGCCTCAGCAGAATTTTTCACGGTAAATTTGCTTCCATCCTGAAGAAAAATTCAGTGTAATTGTTCAGTTGTAATCAACAGAATAACACCTGGGTGTGCTACTCAATTTAGACTAACCTGTTTCCTCCAAGGCCAATCTGCTTGTCCATAATCATATGTTATCTCTTCCCCAGCATTGATGTCCATCATAGCAAAGAGAAAGAGGTACGGCTTGCCTTCTGCTATGATCTTCTTCATTTTACAGTTCGGGTGCTTGTCGTCATCATTGACTAGTCTTCCTAGACTGCCATCTTCTCGAGCTGTATCAACACTTCAAAAATATATTAAATCAATTATTAGACTTCATAAAATCAAATATCTGATAGAATTAAAAAATAATAATAATCCACCAATCATTTAAGAGAGAGCTTCAATAAAGATCATTTAGTTTTTTTTTGTAACACAGCTCAAAGCTTTCATTCAAGTGACCATCACAGAGAGCTGGAGGACAAAAAGTGCTGAGGGAAGTAGGGTCCACCATCGATCACTGTAGAACTGCAGAACAGAAAATACTTAGATCAAGTGAACACAATATTTGATGTCAGGATGAGAAGTCTGTTCCCTAACGAGGACAGCAGAGTGTCAAACAGCATTAATCCACGATCTCCTCCTCTCTGGGTTTTCTATCAAACATTACATTCTGTAGAAGAACAACCCTGGCTTATCTCCTTGTCAGTTAGTTCATCATCCAACAACTACTGACTTTGATTGAAATATTCAAAGAAGACTGATATTAGCATGTGGATAGCAGCTGAGACCGATAACGTCCCCGTAGTATACAGCAGTATGGAGCCTTTCTTGCCCGCCAGGTTGGCGGTTCCTGAAGTGTGTGATGTCACATGCAAGCTATGAATACCTTTAATACTAATACTAAGTAGACAGATCTTTACTGCCCAATTAACTTAGTGACTTGAATTAATATCACACATTGTTTATGAGATGAAAATACCTCAGCTGTGAAGAAATAAATTATTTAAAACTCAATCTTAGCCTTACCACCATGTTTTATCATGCCAGTGGAAGTCAAACATGAAGACAGCACATCTGCCATGGTATACTCTCCTCCTTCTCAGAGATTCATCAGAATCTATTAATTCTCCTCGATACTGCACAATGAAGTCTCCTTTTTGGAAATGGGTCTTGGCAAAGACCCCTCGACCTGATGCAAACACACAGATACATTTTCAATATACAGAGCTTCAGTGTTATACTTTAACACCCTGGAAACTGCACAGAAAGGAGTCTTTTCCATCATAATGCAACCATGACAGGATGTACAGTCAGTCGGGGGGGGGGGGGGGGGGGGGTCGACACGCATGCATGCACGCATACACACACACACAGACAGACAAGGTGCGTGCCTCTAAATTGTACAGGGAAAGCAAACAGCAGCTTGTTAATCTAAACCATATTATTAGACTTAACAACAGAAAAAGAAGCAGGCTGTAATGACTAGTGACCAACTCGCTGTTTTGCTGACAGCAGCAGTACCAAAGGCACTGGTGTTTGGTACCCATCAGTAATAGTAAGAGGTAAGCTCTGATAGTACTACAAATTCACAAAACTAAATAATACTGAAAAAAAAAAATCATACCTTTAAAAGAGTCAATGTATTTCACTTCCAACCCTGCTGTCTTGTCCAGGCCTTTCAAAGCATGTTCTATTGCATTCTGTTTTGGGGATTTCCTTCGTCTCAGCAAAGCCATTAATCATCCTGTAATCAAATACAGAGCATGTAACCTGATAGTCACATAAAATGTACAGCTTCGACACACTACCTGCATGAGTAGCTTGTGACTGCTACCTGTTGATCTGCTGTGGCTCATATGATCATAGTGCCCAAACAGACAGTTTGCAGAGGTCTGCAGCATCCCTTAACTTTCTACACAGAATTAGCCTTGCACAATAATCATCAATCATCTAATGTATTGTTTTCTTTCATCTCACATTTCATTTATATTAATGCAGATATATGGAACTGAAGAAGTATTGATTGAAGAAAAAATGTAATATGTACACTTTCTTCTGTCTTTACTGTCTACATATACACATACAAAAATTGCAGTTAAAGCTCCTATTATAGATGTTAAGATGTCAATATGACTACATTCAATACTTTGTAGTGTTTAATTGGAGAGGCATGACATCAGAAGGAAGCTCATCACACACCATGCTACGGTCTATCAAAGACTACACATGAAGCACTTTTATGGCTGACAATCACATCTACATCTCCTTTTGTGGATATAGTTTGCATCAATATCTACTTTACTTGTTAACTAGTAAAGACTTTACTTGATATTTCACTGAGAAATAATGCATTTGCTTTTGAAGGTGTACACTGAATCATTGAGCCGCTTGAAGTAATGGAAGATTTAACTAGATATTATTATTCAAAATCTCTCTCTGGCTCACATCTTTCACACATTTGTAACTTTACAAGAATCAATATGACACAAGTATGATTTACTTACAAGGA